CACTCTCATTGAACATAGGGGCCCCCAGGGATGTGTACTGAGCCCCCTTCTCTACTCCCTCTACACCGCGGACTGCACGGCCAGACACCCCACTAATTCCATTGTGAAGTTTGCTGACGACACAGTGGTGGTGGGACTCATCTCTGGGAACGACGAGAGGGCCTACCAGAGTGAGGTGGATGGACTAGCAAAGTGGTGTGAGGCAAATCACCTCTCCATGAACATCAGTAAAACAAAGGAGATGGTGATTGACTTTAGAAAACAGAGAGGTGAGAAAACTCACACCCCAATTCAGATCAATGGAACCCCTGTGGAGAGAGTCTCCAACTTCAAATACCTCGGTGTCCACATCAACGAGGACCTTACTTGGAGTACACATACGGACTTCCTCATTAGTAAAGGCAGACAGGCCTCTATCACCTGAGGCGTCTAACCCCTTAGCAGTCCTACAAATTTTGCCTAAAATTTGTGAAAAAGGCATATCCAAAATAAATTGCATGCTGCTCTTGAACCATTTGGAGTATATGCATGGTTTTGGTCTCTTTTGAAAGGAGACAATCTGTAGTTTGTTCCTGAGGTGTCAGAATCACTTTATGTCATACTGCTATTGAGTAATAGAACTTTGAACACACTAAAAAAGAGAGAAAAAAAAATCCGCCCAAGTTTTTTTTTGTAAGGAATGCATGCAGATGCCTACCTTGTGAGGTATTAGCTGGAAAACACAACAGGATCAAAGCATGAAGCCTTACCAAGCCACAATTCAAATTTGATAACAATATCTTAGAAAATGAGTGTTCTATGCAAGTTTATTTAGGTCTATGTATAGGCGCTACCCAAAAAAGGCCACTTGGAGACTCCAAATGGCCCTTTGTAACAATCAACACATAAAAGGCTGTAATTCTTGAATGCTTTTATGTACAGTCCTAATTTTGGTCTCTAATTAAAGGTTACACTCAGAGCTATTCTTACATCCAGATTTATTGTCAATACTTTACAAAATTACAGGAGCATAAACATTATACAGTGTTTTTTTTTCAATTTCGAAACAAATGTAAAGGGAAAAAAAATTATTATGGCATTAAAACTCACTATATATACACATTATGTATATGCATCTGTGGGTGTATAAATATATATATAGTTTTTCACACAAATGTATTTTTACAATTATATTTTTTAGAGATCATTGGCATCATGCCAGTCTTTATAACAATCTCGACTTGGCAAAAAGCACAAAGGCACATCACAGGAGGAGCACTTTACTGGTGTCTTTGCCTGGCAGTGTCTGCACCTCAGACGACCTGTGGTGCTGTGTCCACTGATATGCACAGGCTTGTGATGTGCTCTGTTTGGAGAGGGTGATGGTGCGGGCGATGGAGCAAGGCTGCCAGCTGCCACTGCCAGCTCCTCAATAAGTGTCTCCCGAAAAGCCTTTTGGTGCATGGGTACCTCTCCTTTACCCTTTGTGATGCTCTTGTGAAGCAGGAAGGCATTCACAACAGCAATGTCCAGAAAATGATAAAAAACAACAACGATATAAGTTAGCAGGAACACCTCAAAACACACACACAATATATATATATATATATATATATATACACACATTATATAAAGACACACGACGTGAGTTAGTAAGAACACAATCAAAACACAAAGATGCACACACACAAACAAACAATATAAACACAGCAGGAGTTAGTAAAAACGCATCAAACACACAGAGGAGCAGGCGCGCACACACACAAAGGCGCACACACACACACAAAGGCACATACTATGGGAGTACACATCCCCTATTCTCACTGACTGTGGCCTCGCGGTCAGGAAGCTATAAATCCACCTGCACAAAGATGTACTAAATCCCAGATCTTGGAGCTTACCCGAGAGGGTGTGGGGCACTATGGTGTTGAAAGCTGAGCTGTAATCTATGAACAGCATTCTCACATAATTTCCACATCCCTCATCTAGATGGCTCAGTGTGGTATGCAGGACCTGTGCTACAGCGTCTCCGGTAGATCTATTTGTCCGATATGCAAACTGCAGTGAGTCAAAGTCAGGAGGGAGGAAGGAACTGATGAAGGGTTTCATGAGCCTCTCAAAACACTTCATCACTACAGATGTTAGGGCTACTGGGCGATAATCATTTAGACTGGCTGGGCGAGTGTTCTTCGGGATCGGAACAATCACTGATGTTTTAAAGCAAGTGGGGACTACCTGCTGGGCCAGAGAGGCATTGAAGATGCTGGTGAAAACTGTGGTCACCTGATCTGCACATACTCTTAGCACACGTCCCGGTATGCTATCTGGTCCCGCTGCCTTCCTGCAGTTTGTTGCCCTCAGAGCTTTCCTCACATCATGCTCAGAGAGTATCAGTGTTGCTGGTTCAGCAGCGGGAGCGGGTGCAGAGCTCTGAATTGCCGCCACAGCAGGCACCTCGAAACGCGCAAAAAAAACATTGAGATCATCAGCTAATTCCGGTTTCATACATCTTACAGTGCTGGGTTTATAATCTGTGATTGTTCGTAGCCCGTCCCATATACATCGGGAGTCACCGTGTTGGAAATGCGACTCCACCTTGTCCTTGTAGCGCCTCTTTGCCACTTTCACAGTCTTCCTTAGGCCATAAGAAGCTGCTTTGTAGCTGGTCATATCGCCCGATGTAAGCCCATAGTTATAGGCTGTGGTCCGTGCTTTGAGAGCTCTCCTGACAGTAGAGTCAACCCAAGGTTTTTGATTGGGAAAAATCCGGATTGTAGCCGAGGGGATGATGGTATCTACTAGCATTCCAATGAAGCAAATCACTGTGTCCGCAAACTCGTCAATGTTTACAGAAGTATCCTGGAATACGTCCCAGTCTACATTACCGAGTGCGTCCTGCAGCGTCGCCTCTGATTGGACAGTCCAGCGTCTGACCTTCCGCGTCACCGGGGCTTCCTGGTGAAGCCTTTGTTTATATTCCGGTGCAAGTAAAATGGCGGCGTGGTCCGATTTCCCAAAAGCCGGTAGAGAGATGGCTTTGTAGCCACCTTTGAAAGGACTGTAGCAGTGGTCCAGTGTGTTATTCCCTCTGGTGGGACAGGTAACATGCTGATGAAAGTTAGGCATGACCTGTTTTAATTTAGCCCTATTAAAATCCCCCGCCACGATGAGGGCGGCGTCTGGATGTTTAGCCTGGTGGCCGCTCAGCACATCATGGAGGTCCGATAGCGCCTTGTTGTTATCTGCTTGTGGCGGGATGTAAATCACAGAGGTAATCACAGCAGTGAACTCCCGAGGGAGGTAGAATGGCCGACAGAGGATGGTAAGAAGCTCCAGGTGGGGTGAGCATGACCGGGACAGGACCGTGATATTCCAAGGGTTACACCATCTGTTATTGACCATAAAACAAACCCCACCACCCCGTAATTTACCGGACTCCGCAGTTCTATCCGAGCGGAAAACAGAGAATGATTCCGCCGGGATTATCGCGTGGTCCGGCACAGAGCTGGTCAGCCAGGTTTCGGCCAGGCAGAAGATGTTGCAGTCTCTGATGTCTCGCTGGTACCTGGTTCTCGCCCTGATATCGTCCAGCTTTTTCTCAAGTGACTGGACGTTGGCTAGCAATATGCTAGGCAATGGAGGACGGTGTGCTCTGGTACGCAGCCTGTTCCGGACCCCTGCTCTTCGACCTCTGTATCGCCGTCTCCTTCTACCCTGGCGACCTCTGGGGTCATTGTTCTCATCACGGAGGATCTCTTTCGGCCACGACGTTGTATCAAGCAAACCCGCAGCAGAGGTGAGTGAAAAATGTTGTACTATATCCATTAGTGTGCCAAAGTCATATTGAGTCAGACCTTGTGCAGCACGAGCAAAAAAACCAATAAAAAACATGAATAAAACAAAATAAAAACACAGTCGCCGCGGAGCTACCAGGACGGCAGCCGAACTCAACGGCGCCACCTTTTAAAGATGTTCCTTATTTGATTACCCCCTGTGTGCCCCTCTGTGTATCTGTGAGCCCTCATTTCCCCTCGTGTTTCATTTAATGTTTTCCGCAGGCCGTTATGTCTGTGCTCTCTCTCCTCCTGTCTGAACCTCTGTGTACTTCCTGTTTTACTTTGACAGTCTCTCGTCAGTATGCGTCATTTTGTTCACTCCTGCCCTGTCTCGTTATGATTATCTGTGTCAGCTGTGTTCCCCGTGTGCTCCCACTTCCCTCGTTAACCCTCTGTGTATTTATGTGCATGTCTCCCTCAGTTCAGTGTCGCGTTGTCAATGTCTCCTCACCGAACCTGTGTGCTTTTCTGTGTTCCCTCGGTCCTCAGTTAGCATTCCCGGTTTAGTTCTGTTTCGTTGTAAGGCCTGCAATAAAGCAGTGATTTTGAGTTCAGTTCTTGTCTCCGTGAGTTTTGCGTTTGGGTCCTCATCTGCCTCCACACGGCTAGTTCATGACAGAAAAGTTTCTGGCTCATTTTAGACGCCCGCTCTTTAAGGGCTCTATCTTTATTGCTCATAATGCTAAGGGTTTTGATGCTTACATTATTCTCAGGGCTATGGTTAAGTGTAACAGGTATTACAATTAAACAACATGAGATATGCATTAAATTATTGTCTCGACAACTTTGGACCAGTATCAGAAAGTTCTAGGTAAGACTATGGAGCCTTGAAAGGATCAGCAGAGAAGGAACCACACAATGATAGATAAGATGTGATTTGAATAGAAACTGTATTGAAAGTTGTAAA